TCTTGCGGATCAGCTTCGAGGTTACTATAATTGTCAATTAACAGCACGTCATACTTGGTTCTCTTTATTTTTTTGGTATCACCATTGTTAATAGTAGATTTTGCTATTGCTGGTAGAACTTCGTTGCTAACATTATTCTTGAGATTTCACTGTTGGGAAAGAAGTGGTTGTTGGGAAAGGGTGATTATCAAGGATGTGGTAATAGTTGAAAAGTGATTGCTGATAAATAGTTTTGAGTAAATAATTGTATTGAAAATGAAGTAGTTATTAGAAAAATGATTTTAAGTAAATAACGTCAAGTAAGTTGATAGAAAAGAGAAATAGTAGTTACTAAAAAAGCAATTGCTGAAGAATTAGTTGTTAGGAAGTGCATAGCATTAGTTTGTTTTTTTTTACATTATATATATTATGTATAAGGCAAATTTAAATCAAATCTGAACATATTCGTAAACTTTCGAATTGAACCCAAACTGAACACGAACATGCTTTTAAAAATTCGATATTTCACGTTTAAGTTCAGTTTAAAATTTGAACCAAACTCGAACTTAACCTAAGTTTAGTTTGGTTTGGGTTCGTAGGAACACTAGTATCACCACATGTGTTTTAACAGAGACGGGTTCAAATGTTTGTATTGTCTAGACTTTATAAAGTCTGACATTGATAAACATGTTCAGTCACTTTAAGAAAGTCTACATAAACCTGGTTCATATAATCTAAATGAATATGAAGAGCATCCTTTTACTCCTGAAGACGATGATACCAAAGAATCGCAAATAATATTTCAGTATCTTGGGATGCTGCAACACGGCAGTTTCTTCAATATAATTAACGGCTTTGTGAAAGCGAATAATTTAATATAAAGGTATGTGTTCATTTGTTTTATAATAATCTCAAAGCAACTTTTATTATTTTTTTTTATTATATATTTAAATCAGGAATGTAATTAATAAAAAGAATACAAATAAAAACTGCTATACGTACTATCCCTTAATCCGTATGTAAATTCGGGGCAAATTTGCCCCGAATTTTATAAGATCATTTTTACATCATTTAAT